GGAATGTAAAAGAATTACTTGCGTGATGGAAGCGATGAAGGAAGACTTGCTAGTGTTTGCAAAACCCGTTCAACTTCACCGTCACTGTTATCTATTTTTACTTCTCCAGGGACAGAATCAAGCACCCAGAGCTGTTCTGCATCAAAGGAAATAAATGAGACAGTGATACACATTCTTTATCCCCCTGACAGAGTAATGTTCAGAAAGCGTGACCAATCAAAATAATCAGGGGATAAAGATGATGCCAAGAAATCAACTACCAAGACAAAAAGCAATAAATTGTCATTCTCACAACAGAATCATAACAAATTCTCCAGAGGTTGTACTTGGATGCTATATTAGGATCTCTTACACAACTCAAAGCATACTTTACTTTGTGACACATAGTGAACTACATGATTCTTGTTTCATATGTAACAGTAGGATTTTGTAGATCAACACTGCATACTATGTAAATAAGTATGTATACACTGCACCTACTGTAAGTTGCAAAATCAGACAAATTATGCAGAAGAACAATAATAATAAAACAATTGGCAAACACAAGAACTAATATGTTAGAAGCAACCACATGAACGCTAAAAGTAACTCACTGAACCTGTTTCGGAAGAGCAGCAGATTCTCCGTAATCGCCACGGGAGCAACTCTCCGCGAAATCCAGTGCGACCTTTCCACCCATGGAGTGACCCACGACGACATCCGGCCATGTCCAGCCCCGAGCCTTCACCAAATCAGCAAGATCCTTGGCGGCACTCGACATTTCATGGGGCGGGCTCAGCCCTTTGATCCTGGCTGAGCTCCCATGGTTCCTCAAATCCACAAGAACCATCTTCCACTCTACAAACACACACGCATACATATCACAAAATTCAGGTCTCTAAACAAACTCCCGGCCTGTGACTCTAAGCAAGCGCCGAACTATGTAAAATGCCGTGCACATTGATAATTCTCCAACGTTCAATGGATACCACAACGATCAGTAGCAGTGCTAACTGTTAACAGATATGCGCATTTAATTCAGGGGGTATTCTGCGTCAGTTACCGTCGGCGAGGGAGCGGTCGCGGAGCTGGGAGGCGAGGGTGCGGGAGAAGGTGCGCCAGTTGCGGCCGGAGCCCAGGAGGCCGTGGAGGACGAAGGCGGTGGCGGTGGGCGGCTTCTCCGGGGAGAGCTGGATCTCGTGGAAGGCGAGGGTTTCGGTCTGGTGGGCGGCGTCCGAGTGGACGGAGGAGGAGAGGAGCAGGCGCCAGGGAGACCAGGCGGCGGGGGAGGAGAGGAGGCGCGAGCGGAGGGAGGAGGAGGACGCTCGGAGGGACGCCGCCATGGCCGATCGCTCCGCGGGAGTTCTCGCCAGGCGACGCGGCGATGGGTAATGGCTGCCGAGCCGATGAGTACAGAACGAACACACAAAAAAAAATTGAGCTGAAAACAGGGAAAAAAATAAAAAGAATATATGACAGCTGTGGGATTTGAACCCACGCCCTTTCGGACAAGAGCCAAAATCTGGCGCCTTAGACCACTCGGCCAAACTGTCTTGTTGTACGCACTGAGCTGGCTAATTTATTAAACTTAACGAGGAATTAGGATGGTCGTCTAACATCTATGAAGAAACTAAAAGGATGGACAACCGACATCTTTTATTTCAATTCCATTTTCAGAGATGGACAACCGACATCTTTTATTTCAATTCCATTTTCAGAGATGGACAACTGCACAACCGATGTGTCTAGGAGTATCATTTCATCGACTAGCACGATAGTGGCAGAACTTGTCCCAAATAGCTGGGTGGTCCGGCTGATAGAAATAGCTATTGGCGGAGAGTTGCCTTAAAGAAAATCTCATAGTTGGGCGCGGCCAGGGCCCTTTGGCTTTGCTGTAGCACCGCCATTGTAGCACGGGTCGCCCCAATGAAAGGAAGATGAAAAAGGAGAAGCTCAAAAGGAGGAGAGGTGGAGGCGATGAATAACAATATCGATGAGTTGAAGAGGGAAAGAAACAAGTATACTGAGAAGAGGCAATAAAAGTTAGAGATGAAGGAGAAGAAGAATGAAGAGAAGAAGGCGAGATGGGGGCTATGCAAGAGAGCAAACGGAGTCAGCTAGACATTGAGAAGTAGGCTCCACATTAAGGCTGGTCGGGCGAGAGATGGCTGCCTGAACACCCAGAATCAGTTCATCACGATGGATCCAATGGCTGGGGAATTTTGGGCGAGTCCATGGAATATCACCATACGTTTCAGGAACCTCGAACAAAGGCAAAATACACACGCTGAAGGAGGAAAGAATGGCGTAGACATCAGCGGAGTGGACGGTGCACACAACGGCGACATGTGATTTGTGCATGTCACTGGTTAATGCTTTTGTTTGTGCAAATTGCCAAAAATTATATTCATGATTGCTTGGTGTGCCAAATGTTTACTTTTGGAGGGAATCTAAGTGTTTGAATGAAAAAACAGGAAAATAAATTATGGAGGTTGAGATATGGTGGCTCTGTGTTTCCGCGTCACCTCGAGTCCTCGACAGCCTCCATATTCGTATGGAACACATTTCATATGGCGGATGGCGATCTCAGATACGGAGACTCTACTAGAGTTGCTCTAAGGTATGCAGGCTTTAGAAATCCATTATGGATTAAAGCAAGCATCTTAGAGTTGGAACATTTGTTTTGATGAGGCGGTCAAAGGATTTCTCTTCATCAAGAACAAAATAAAAAATGAACCTTGTGTTTATAAGAAATTTAGTGGGAGCTCGGTCGTGTTTCTAATCATATTTTATTTTATTTTATTGAAAAAGAGGATAACCCTTTGTATCGAGTGATGCACACAACCATATACTCCCTCTGTTTTATAATATAGTGCATGTAGGATTTTTGAGGCGTTAAACTTATCAAACTTTGACCAAGTTTAAGGAGATATTTATTTATATCTGCAATATCAAATATATACAATATGAAAATTTAACTCACGATGTATATGATGATATGCATTTGCTAGTAGAAATGTGAGTATTTTCTCTATAAACATGGTCAAAGTTTGCAAAGTTTGACTTCGAAAAAAAAAATCTATATGCAGTACATTATGAAGCGGAGAGGTATTATTTATCATGCAAAATCCAGCAGTCGAACAACATCAACCCAAAAAAATGAGGTCGCATGCCTCACGACAGTAACTGCACCAAATAGCCACTTCCCCTAAGATAAAAGACAAAACCAAAACAAAAAATACACAACTCCTTACTAAGCTTTTAAAAAGAAATCTCCGCACGTGCATCGATGATGATGAGTCCGACTCAAAGTCGATATTGAGGTATTCATCGCCGAAGCCAAGCTTCGATCCACCATCTTCAGCAAGGGCCCAGCGTATATCTAGTGTTTTCCACCGGAGTGTGCATGTTCTTCATCGAATTCGCCTCTACCATCAAGACTTGTCTATCTACCGACACCTCACTAGCCGGATACCGCAGGAGCATAAACCGAAAGACAAAGGCGTCCTATACCGCCTCGCCTCTAGAAAATCGCCTCTAATGTTACAAAACTACACGCGGTTACAGAAACACAACCGCCTCCAAATTTTCTACCGGCGGTTTTCGAATTGCTAACCAACTCTGGATCTTTCTGTACCAAGAATAACCGCCTCCGGCGGGTATTATTTGGTGACCACAATATGCTTGACCAGACCCACTTCCAGGGGCCACTTGTAATGCCTCGTTTTTCTACTAGTGAGCTGATGGGACTACGAGCCTAGTGGTAAACCCGTGATCTATACCCACATCATGTTCCTAGCTCGTGCAATAGATTTATTTTGTTTTGAGATAGTGTATTGTAACGCGTTCTCCAACAGGCTGGCCCACCAATGTTGTCGTCGCGAGGAGAGGCACATCACCGTCCGCAAGTTTCAGATCTAGGTTTTGTGGGTTTCACCATCATCTACCTTCTAGCAATTTGCTAGCTTTTCCTTGAAGGCTTGAATGCACATCAGCGAGGCGATGTAAAAGGCCTTAATTGTCATCTTTGTAGGGATAATTGGTTTGAATAAGATCATATCTTGCCCCTTGTCGTGAGAATCACATCAAAACAAATGTATAAATATGTGTTAACAGAAACTAAAAAAAAGTGAAAACTAATCTATGAGAGTTCTCAGACATTTTAAAAGAGTAAAACCTACAATGTATGTGATAAATTATGTATAAAAGGGAAACACTTAAAATATAAACTTAATGCGACATCATCTATTGATGAAAATGTGAAACACAAATGATATATTTTTCTCAAGTGTGAAACATAAACTATATATTTTTGTCAAGTACTCCCTCTGTTTCTAAATGTAAGACCCTGACAAACAACCAGCCATAAGCCTCACGGGCCCTTGGCAGTTCAATATAAACGGTCAAAACGTCTTACCTTTAGAAACAGAGATACATAATTTATCATCACAAAAAAATCAACACAATTTCTTTTTACCTTGTGACTGACATACATGACTTGATTATTTTGGAGAAAAAGACATGATGTGAACCGGAAAGGTGACTTTTCATGCGCTCCATGCAAGGCGCCGCTGCTATAAATCTAATCCCTTCCGGCTCTTTCAACTAGCCTGTGGATTACGGTGCCCATTGACGATGAAAATCTTTGTGCCTTGGCTCCGGCTAATAGTCTAGTTAGTTTATTTTCTTGCAGGGATGCACGGACTATGTTCAGGCGGATGGCAGCTCGTATCATCTTTGAGTTGGTCTTTTGGGTTTCAATCCTTCTTAAGTTCGTCCATCAAAACGGATTCTATAAGCTTTCCGCCGTCTCGCGGCGGCGAGCTACCATAACTAAATCTGTGCAATACATACTATCGAGACAACCGCAGAATAACCACGCTCCAACTCTAGTACGATTCCGAGGGCATTTCGAACATTAAACTGATGATAACTGCCGAAATTCCTTTCAAGAACGGCGAGAAATATTTACGCTTCAGTACAAATTAGTACTATCTGTAATCGTACATTTGACATGCAAATCATAGAGCTGAATGGTGGGTGCACCATTCAGATCTGCTGCGGGATTCTTGGAGATCATTTGGTGGTGCCTGCTCCACCTGTGGTGGCTGTGTGTCCATTGGCTCGATGTCGATGAGGAGGCCCTGAGCAGGGGACGGCAGCGGGTACCTGGAGAAGCTGCCGTCGCAGCCGTCGGCGAGCTTCCACTTGAATCCGGTGACGATGTAGTGCATGGCCACCAGCGCCTCCACCCTAGCGAACTCGTTTCCCGGGCACACGGTCGCGCCGCCGCCGAACGCCACGAAGCTGTAGGGCGCTATCGGGCTCTCGAACCTCGCCGGCTCGAACCTGCTGGGCTCCGGGAAGATGGCCGGGTCCCACTGCGTCATGTTCATCGCCCCCAACACCTGCCATCCCTTGGGGATGAGGTGGCCGTCGAACTCCACGTCCTCGACCGCCCTCTTGAGCACGGAGAACACCGGAGGTACTAGGCGCAGGGTCTCCATCGCCGCCGACCATGTGTACTTCATCTTGCCGAGGTCGTCCCATGACAGAGCTTCCTCCGGAGCCTTGCTCCTCGCGACCTCTTGTTGCTCTGCCACGACTCTGCCGTAGGCGTCCCTGTTGCCGTCAAGGTGTCGGAGGAGGAAGGTGAGCAGGGTAGCGGTGGTGTCGTGCGCCGCTACCATCATGAACATGACGTTGTCGATGATCTCCTCGTCGGCTAGCCCCTCGGCGAGCATGTGGGTCATGAGGTCGTCGGACGGCGAGCTATGCCCGCTCTCCAGCTTGGCGCGCTTCTCGTCGATGACTGCCGCGACGGTTCGCCGGCCTCGCCGGCTCGCGGCGAGGCACTTGCCGAAGGAGGTGAAAGGCAGGTTCACCGGGATCGCCCAGATGCCCCTCACCAGCTGCTGGAACTCCGCCGAGAGCTCCCGCCTCACAGCGGCGTGTTCAGCTCTCCCGAACCCGAAGATGACGGTGCACATGATGTCGAAGGTGAGCGACTTCATCGACGGCATCACCGCGACGGTTGCGCGGCCGTCCCAGTGGGCGCGGATGTGGTGCCGGACATCGTCGTCCATGCTGGCGACGTAGCTCCTGACGCTGTCCAGTTTGAGGAACTGGACCATCATGGCCCTTACGCGGCGGTGGTCGTCGCCGGCCAGCTCTCGGATGTTGCGCCTGCCGACCATACTGTTGAAGGAGGTGGTGGTCTTGGCGGTGAGCGCGGTGCTGGCGAAGAGGAACTTGTTGGCGGCGGGGCCGACGAGCAAGGCCGTGGGGAGACCGAAGAGGGAGAGCTTTGAGATGGGGCCGTACTCGGAGGCCCAGCGCCGGAGCCATGCCTCGGCGGTGTTGGCGCGGAGGGCGCGCAGTAGGCCGACCGTCTGGCCGACGACGGGAAGGCCCAAGGAGCCCGGAGGCAGCTGGCGGCGCCGGTCGTCTTGAGATGAGCTCTGCTTTCGCAGGTGTGGCAATACCAAGAAGATGAAAGCAAGGATTACTGCCGCAAGAGCTGCCAAGACGGAAGCCTCCATTTCCATCTTTTTTGATCCAAGCTCTCCGATGGTTGTTTTTCTAATCAGACGGGCACTCAGTCCACTATGTATAGTAAATTAAATCCATGAGATCAGCTACATCCAGGCTTAATATTTTCATTGATCTCCTCTAAATGATATTAAAGTACTTCATTTGTTTATTTCCGGTTGGAATTATTAGTGGGAATCATGCTCACGATGGATTCCTCGGGAGTGAAGACAAAATGTAGCAGCTACAAAAGCAATAGAGAGCGAGGTTTAATCAGCAAGTGTTGGAAATATTAGCATATTTTTAACTAATCTAATCCACGAATAAACAGTAAACATGACAAATACGGTATGCATCTCATGCGATATCTAAGCATGTATGCACGTACAGTATATAGAACCGAAGCATCTATGAGCGGCATATATATACGGTCAGTACATGAACGAGCAAATAGGGGATAAACGAGTCATACCCTTCGGTTGACCAGGTCAATGCGGCGGCGGCGGCGGCGGCCGAGGCCTTCTTCTTGACGGCTTCGTCGTCAGTCATGGAGTCGATGCAGGGGAAGCAGAGGGAGCAGTCGCGTCGAGACGCTCCCAAAAACCTTACTGCCGTTCTCTCGGGCAAGATCTCGAATGACAGGGTTCCCGAGGCACCTGCTCTCCCGATCAACCGTGTACGCGGTCATCAGGATGGGATTGCCGGAGGCAGCACAGAGAGAGAAACAGTAGATGACGGTTAGGATTGTGTAAGAGGGAGTGAGTGAACTGAGTTGGGATTGAAGGAAATATGCCCTAGAGGCAATAATAAAGTTGTTATTTATATTTCCTTATATCATGATAAATGTTTATTATTCATGCTAGAATTGTATTAACCGCAAACTTAGTACATGTGTGAATACATAGATAAAACATAGTGTCCCTAGTATGCCTCTACTTGACTAGCTCGTTAATCAAAGATGGTTATGTTTCCTAACCATAGACATGTATTGTCATTTGATAAACGGGATCACATCATTAGGAGAATGATGTGATGGACAAGACCCATCCATTAGCTTAGCATTATGATCGTTACAGTTTCATTGCTACTGCTTTCTTCATGACTTATACATGTTCGTCAGGCTATGAGATTATGCAACTCCCGAATACCGGAGGAACACCTTGTGTGCTATCAAACGTCACAACGTAATTGGGTGATTATAAAGATGCTCTACAGGTGTCTCCGAAGGTGTTTGTTGGGTTGGCATAGATCGATATTAGGATTTTTCACTCCATTTTTGGAGAGGTATCTCTGGGCCCTCTCGGTAATGCTCATCACTATAAGCCTTGCAAGTAATGTGACTAATGAGTTAGTTGCGGGATGAAGCATTACGGAACGAGTAAAGAGACTTGCCAGTAACGAGATTGAACTAGTTATGATGATACCGACGATCGAATCTCGGGCAAGTAACATACCAATGACAAAAGGAACAACGTATGTTGTTATGTGGTTTGACCGATAAAGATCTTCGTAGAATATGTAGGAGCCAATATGAGCATCCAGGTTCCGCTATTGGTTATTGACCAGAGATGTGTCTCAGTCATGTCTACACAGTTCTCGAACCCGTAGGGTCCGCGCACTTAACGTTCGATGATGATTTGTATTATGAGTTATGTGATTTGATGACCTAAGCTTGTTTGGAGTCCCGTATGAGATCACGGACATGACGAGGAGTCTCGAAATGGTCGAGAGGTAAAGATTCATATATTGAAAGGCTATATTCGAACATCGGAAAGGTTCCGAGTGATTCAGGTATTTTTCGGAGTACCGGGGAGTTACGAGAATTCACCGGGAGAAGTAATGGGCCTTATTGGGCCATACGGGAAAGGAAGAGGCAGGCTAAAGGGGAGGTGGCACGCCCCCCCCATGGGTCCGAATTGGACTAGGGGAAGGGGGCGGAGCCCCCCTTGCCCTTTCCTACTCCCTCTCTCTTTCCCTCTTTCCTTCTCTCCTACTCCGAAAGGGATTCCTACTAGGACTTGGAAGTCCTAGTAGGACTCCATACTCTTGGCGCGCCCCTAGGGGCCGGCCTCTCTCCCTCCCTCCTTTATATACGAGGGCAGGAGGGCACACACCATGTTTTGCCTTAGTGCTTAGGCGAAGCCCTGCGCCGGCAACATCATCATCACCGTCGCCACGCCGTCGTGCTGACAGAAATCACCCTCGTTCTCATATGGATCAAGAGCGCGAGGGACGTCATCGAGCTGAACGTGTGCTGAACGCGGAGGTGCCGTACGTTTGGTACTTGGATCGGTTGGATCGCAAAGACGTTCGACTACATCAACCGCGTTACTAAACGCTTCCGCTTTCGGGCTACGAGGCACTACAACAAAAGACACATCCGTGACATTTTGGGCCGAATGCAATTTTTTCTGTCATACTTATGACACTTCTATGACGATAATTGTGACAAAACCCGGTATCATCATAGATGTGGTGTGCTCCTACTTCTATGACAAAAAATCATGATAGAAAATGGGCTTTTCGTCCTGGGCGGGCCGGAGACACAGCTGCATGACATTCTTTGGGCCCTCCATGATGGAAAAAACTGTGGTAGAAGCGAGGGCGACGAAAATATCGGGGAGTTCCCGGTTACGGTGGGTGGTCGGGGGCCGAGCGATGCGCGTTTCTCTCACACCGTACGTGCGTGGGTGCGAGGCGTTGGGCTCTAACTGAACCCGAGCGAGGCGTCACCTAACTGAACCCGAGCGATTGCACTGTAGGCTATGCGTTACTGAACCCGAGCGATCGAGCGATTCCTTTGCTACTGCTACTAACTGAAGCCGATCGATGCTGCCCCTGGATGAACAGTGAGCGTTGTTGTGGGGTTTGGATGAACAGTTCCCGATGGGGGTGGATGAACAGGACCCCGTGGTGTTGCCTCTGGATGAACAAGACCCCGATCGAGCCGGTTGGGGCTGGATGAACAGGACCCCATGGAGGGCTGGATGAATAGGACGACCCCGTGGAGGGCTGGATGAACAGTAGCCCGTGGAGGGATAGTTGAACAGTAGCCCGTGGAGAGGGGTGGTGGAACAGTAGCCGGTGGAGTAGCGCGCGGTGGAGGCTGGATGAACAGGAGCCCATGGATGAACAGTCGCAGGTGGAGGCTAGAGGAGGTCGACAGTGGATGAACAATAGCCCGTGGAGGCTGGAGGAGGCCGACGGTGGAGATGAACAGTATCTCGTGGATTCCCGTTTTGCGGTACGCCACACCCCTCCCGATGAACAGGACCCCTGTTTTGACCGTAGCGCTCCAACACAAGTCCGTTTCCTCCGTTTTGCGGTATGCCACACCCCTCCCGATCAACAGGACCCCGTTTCGACCGTAGGAGGTCCAACAGAAGTCCGTTTCCTCCGTTTTGCGGTACGCCAGACCCCTCCCGATGAACAGGATCCCGTTTCGACCGTGGCCGGTCGAACACAAGGCCGTTTTCTCCGTTCTGCGGTACGCCAGGCCTTGTTTCCATCGGGTGTTCCGTCCAAGCCGGTTGGTTCCCACGCATTTCCTTGCCTCCCTATTAACACGACGCATTCTGCTGCCTCCCCATGAACACAACGACGACGCAGTTTCTCCGTTCCGAACCAGCCATGTACACGAGCCCTGGCTGTACGTATGTGCGAGTAGGCGTTCGAGACCCCGCCCGTATGTACGTACGTGGCCGTATTTACTTTCTTGCAACCTGGCCGTTGTACGTACGTGTACATGCTACATGCGCGCCTCTACTACGACACGTGCATGTCTACATCGACCAGTATGTACGTACACGTTCGCGACTAGAATGACAACACTACGTACGCTTCGACCAGGTGGGTCCCGACTGTCAGGCACTTCCTTGCGTGCGAAGATGTAGCTGGTGGGTCCCAGCAGTCAGGGGGCGAATCATTTTTTTGCCTGTAATATGGACGCACTTTCTTGCGTGCGAAGATGTAACTGGTGGGTCCCAGCAATCAAGGGGGAAACATTTTTTTCACAAAATATGGTGGCCCGTCCGGTGGGACCCTGCTGTCAGGTGGAGGAATAATTATTTTGCGCGTAATAAGGAGGCACTTCCTCGAGGCCACCGTGGACCCAGCTGTCAGCCTCTCCACGTATAGTATTCTTCCGATGGAAGTCGTTCCTTGACCACATTGACCACACCGCTCCAAGAGCCCCATGGCGGTGGACGACGGCGAGGCCTAGGAAGGGGACGACGTGGAGTCGGGGAAGACGCGGGAGTGGAAGCCTGCGTGGAGAGGAGTATGGGGGTTCACTCATTCAGTTGTGGTGTGAGGTTGCCATCGCCGCAGGGCTTGGCCAGCTGTGAGAATAGTAGGGGGCGGTGAGGCCTCCGCGGTAGCACAGCCGGCCACGGGAGGCATGAAAGGTCTAGTTATCAACTAGATGGGGGGTGAATAGGCGATTTTTATGTAAGTCTTCAAAACATGGGAGTTTCGAAGACAAACAATGGAAATGACACTGTTCGTATGCAGCGGAAGGTAGACTACACTAGACAAGCCATAGTCAAGTATTCAATGAAGTGAAAAGCACGAAGACTATTAGCATCTAGGTAGTAAAGATCAGGATGGAAGATAGTATGAAGCCAATCAGGACAAGTAGTCATACAGTGAAGTCAAACAGATATTGCAAGCAGGCAATGACTTCACGAAGACAAATTGTAAGTTAAGAGAAGTGAGAGATGGAACCAGTGGCTTCGGGAGGACAGGGGTTTGTTCGACCAGTTCCAGTTGCTGTGACAACTATACGTCTGGTTAGGGAGACTGAGATTTAACTCAGAAGACTACGTCTTCACCTTATTCCCCTTGAGCTACGGACTCTCAGTCCCCACCCAATCACTCTGGTAAGTCTTCAAGGTAGACTCCCAAACCTTCACATACTTCGTTCACCGGCAATCCACAATGTTCCTTGGATGCTGAGAACAAGACGCCTAACCGGCTGGAGGATTCACAATCCTCAAGTGTAACAAGTCTTCAGATC